AACTCCGGCTGCCCCACCAAGAGACAGGTCTTTGGCGGTGGTCCTCTGCCGGGCGTCCAGCCCTGGGCCTCGGGCACCCCCTCCCAGCCTCACACAGGCAAGTGCAAACTCAGGGTCTGCTCCTCCACCCAGGCCCCAGCTCAGGCCACGAGGGTCTCCACACACCAGCCGGCCCTCAGACTGATAAACGGGTAATGGTAAGAGTGAAAAAGTGCAAATTCTCTCTGGAAGAGCTCTTGTCACATGAACGCTATGCCACGAAGCTGTATACACCATGTGCATTCTAGTGCCTTCTCTGTGAGCTGGTGCCACGCTGAGCCCCATCGTTCTGGGCTCGTCGGCAAGGCTTCCCCACAGGGTCCCACACTGCTGTGCAACTATACCCCGATGTTGTCCGGGAGCCTCTAAGGGCCCCCAGTTCTCTCCCACGGGCCCTGCTTTCCCCTTGAGGGTATACGGAAGCAGCATGGCCAAGAACCTTGAACCTCAACACCTGCAATGGTGAAAACCTGCAAGTCGGGGGCCAGGCTTGCTGCAGCCCCAGCCCTCGCACCGTCGCGCGAACAAAGCACGGTCACAGCTCAGAGCGCGCTGGATGTGGGACGAAAGGCGCCCTTGGTTGCAACCCTGGCCAGTTACCCAGATGACCATGGAAAACCACTTAGCCCTGGCGACCTCCTGGGTTTCCCGCCTGCAAGTGGTGCTTGGGGACCTAGGTGTGCACCGGACACCGTGCTGCCGGAGTCCCAGGCAGCGGCACGCTGTGGCACCTCACTCTCCTCAAATCTACCTGGGGGACAGGGCTCATGCCCTCTGCATTCCCTTGGGTGCTGACCGCCCACCTAAGATGGCCTGGCACGGCACCCGCTGTGTTCGCCTGCTGGCTGCTCGGCCCCCGGGGCCCGGCCCTCCGTCTTCCGCCTCCATGAATGGACAGTAGATTTGCTGCAAGGCTCCTCTGTGCTCTGTCCTTTGCGTCCTCAACGGGGCCTGGGCCACACCACAAACCCAATAAATAAATGCTTGTTGAAAGTGTGAGTGAATGAGAGCAAAGGAGGAAGGAACCCGGGCAGAAAGATCAAGCAGCTTCCGCCCCCGCTCTGTGCGCCCATTCACTGGGAGCACGTGTCCCTGCGCCCCTCCCCCGCCAGCCGGGCTCCTCCGAAGCCTCCCATAGGAATATTCACGTGCACGGCGGCGGGGCGGGGGGCGGTCACATGTGGGGTCACGGAACTGAGTGGCGGGGGTCACCGAGAAACCAGCAGCACCACCTGCTGCCGCTGAGGCGGAAGACGGCCTGTCCCGGCCCGGGCAGCGAGCGGGCCCGAGCCAGCCAAGGCCTTCTGAATCACCAGGCTGTCTGCCCTTCTCATCCCAGGTGGCTGCTTTGTGTGGCTGGAACAGAGGAAGTGCCCTGCTGACCCGGCGGGTTCCGACCGCCCTCCTCTCCGCCCTCAGCATTTCCTCCCAAGGCCACTTGGCCAAGCTGCCCCGGGTGCTGCGTGGAGAGAGCCGGGGACGGCCAGGCTCAGGGCTCGCTAGGAAACAGTGCCCCTTTCATCCCGTGGCGGGGGGCGGGGGGGCAAGACCGGCATTTGGGCAGGGACTCTCTACATCTTTCCAATTTATGAACGGGCTTCCGGGCAATGGGGTGGCCCAGGAAACCCCCACTAGCGAGTTTTACTTTAGACTGGTCGGCAAGTCTGCCACCACGTCCCGCTCTGGAGCGGTCGCGGAGGAGGGGCTGCATCCGTGCCCCAGCGCACCGAGGGGCTGGTGTGAGGCCATCCCCTGCACAGCGGTCAGAAGCACCTATACAAGTTTATAAGACAGCGTATACAGTATGATCTACCTTGTAAAAACTAAGTGCCAGGAAAAAACAGGAAGCAGACAAGCTAACACTCCAACACTGGTTATCTCTCCACGCTACAGTCTGAGGTGACTTTTCCGGGACACGCATGGCCACGGGAGGCTTCTGCAGCAGCCTGGAAAGGACTAGGTGCCCTGTGCACTGAACCTGCCCCTAACTTGCTGTGTGACACCAGAGAAATGAAGAGCCTCTCTGGGCTTTGGTGTCCCGTTTTCTCCCCATGTCACTAGGTAAAATGCCAAGTGCGTCAGAACCAAGGACAGGGCCCCGGGTTGGGGGCAAGAGCCTGCCGACCAGCAAGCAGTCCACAGACCACACTGGCCGCCCGCAGATGTATCTGATCAGCCCCAACCATGTTCTCACTTCTTAAAATTCCTTGTCAACATTTAAAAATTAACAGCTTTCAGGACACCTGGGTGGCTCAGTTGGTTCAGCGCCCAACTTCAGCTCGGGTCGTGATCTCGTGGTTTATGAGCTTGAGCCCCACGTCGGGCTCGCTGCCGGCAGTGTGGAACCGGCTTCAGATCCTCTGTCCCCCTCTCTCTGCCTGTCCCCTGCTTGCACTCTCTCTCAAAAATGAAAATTAACAGATTTCAAAAATTTAGGTTTCTGTCTTCTCTTTAGAAAATTGGATTCATAGTAACCAAAAACGACCCACATGTCCATCAAGTGCTAAGTGGTTACACTCAATGTGGTGGAGCCAGAAAATGCAATGTCCCTCAGCCGTAAAGAGGAACAAAGTAAGGAATCGTGCTACTACGTGGATAAACTCTGAAAACATGACACTGAGTGGAAGAAAGCGGTCACAAAGGCCACACGCTGATTCCACTACACGTATGAAATATGAAATATCCAGAAGAGACAGAACATGTAGACTGTTGGCTGCCAGGGGCGGGGGGGTGGGGTGGGGTGACTGCTTAATGGGAATGGGGTCTCTTTCGGGGCAATGGAAATGTCTTGAAATTAGTATTGATGGTGGCACGACACTGTGAATGGCTAAGAACTACGGAACTGTCTACTTGAAAACACCCTGTGAGGTCACGTCCCGGGCTCAATCAAGACCCCCAGCTGGGGCGCCTGGGTGGCTTAGTCGGTTAAGCGTCCAGCTTTCGCTTGGGTCATGATCTCGTGGTTCGTGGGTTCGGGCCCCGCATCGGGCTCTGTGCTGACTGCCAGCTCAGAGCCTGGAGCCTGTTTCGGTCTGTGACTCCCTCTCTCTGACCCTCCCCTGCTCACGTTGTCTCTCTCTCTCTCCTAGAAATAAATAAAAACCTTAAAAAAAAAATTTAAGACCCCCAGCTCCAGGGCACAGGGCTACTTGTCCCCCCGCCAAAGAAAGGGAGGGAGGAGCAAACTCATTCATTGAAAATTCATAAATTCTGCTTCTCCTGACCTGGTGACACACACCCCAAGTAAGTCAAAGAGTAAAAACAAAGTAGACAGAAGTATGTCTCCCTCCCACCCCCCAGGCCCCGCCCCAACCACCTCCCCATCAGCCACAGACTCAGCTGAACTCAATCTTGTTAAAGCACCCGGCTCCCGGTGCTGGTTTTCTTTTCTGGGCACTAGAAAACGTCCTGTGTGTTTAACGATCCGTTTCGCAACTCTGGAAGGCATTGATAGTGTTTCCTGAAGAACATCCTATACATAACTCAAGGTGGCAATCACGTGACAGAGGAACTATTTCTCAGATTTAAAAATAAATTCAAAGCCACAGTCTGGAAAGGGTCCGAGTGGGCATTTCCAGAAGAGCTGCCTTTGCCATCCCCGTGCGTGCTCAGCAACACTTTAGGCCACAGGCTCCCTGGGACCACGGGAACTGTCCCGGCTTTCAGTGACCGAGACCCTGTAGGCCATTTGGCCTGCAGTTTGCCCCAAGGCCCAGAGGGCTCCTGCCAAAGGGAATGTGGCCAAGAACACGGCCAAAGGACATCTGGGGCTGACAGCGCCTTCTGGACAAGGCTGCCAGGCCCCAAGGGCCCCGACCCCACGCCCTTGCTCCCCACTGTCATACCTGCACCCACTAAACCACTGCACATCCTCGGCCTCTCACAAGCCAGGCCTTCTGCTAGGCACACCCTCGCCTCTTCACGGCCTGGCCCCTTGGCTCATCCTTGCCGGTTCCTCCAAGTCACCTGCCCCAGGCTGCCGGACTCGTGAACGAAGCCCTGTGTCAGGATGCCCTTAAAGAGCCAGCACCAAGGCCCAGCCCACCAGCGCCGCTGCCGTGCGGGAATCCCCGTCTTGCCCACACCTGCTCGGGACCTTGAAGGCAGGACCACTCCCTGTTCGTGTCCGGGTCCCCGGACAGCAGGAAAGAGCCTGGGACACGTCCGGGGAACCGAGCTGAACACAAAAGATGGTTCCGGTTTGGGGAAACAGAGAACCCCATAGAGATACCGGCAAAAGCTGCCACAAAACCCACCACCGAAACTTCCCAGACAGATCAGCCATGGCTGGCTGGGCTCGGAGCACCTGGAGGAGCCTCCCCGGGCAGCCGGCCGGGTTGGAAGCCCAGCCTCAGGCCACGCCCTGTGCCCAGCGATCAGGAAACCCAGATGCCCCGGATTTCTACCCATATTAAACCGATTGTGCCACACTCGTGTTTCAAATCTCCTGCCACTGATTCTCCTATAGCTGACATTACAAAGAATTTTAAAATGTTCACTTAGCCAAGTAAACTGACTCACTATTGCTTTACATAACAGGTAGGAAGAATTACGCAAATGCATCCGCTTTTCATTAGCGACCACAGTAAGCACATCATAATTTCCAGCTACCTGTTAGTTTCTTAACCTGGGGTGCTGGGTGCAATTCTGATGCCCAGAGGGTTCACACATGTCCCAGAAAGTGACCAGCCATTTCTAATGCATGTGGGAAGCAGAAAGGAAGTCAGCTTTCCCTCTACCATAGCAGAAAACCATTCAAAACAGAAAGAGAGCCCTGTGCTGCGGTCCTCAGGAGGGCTTTACTGGACGTTATGGCTGGGGACTGGAGAAGCCTGGACACCCACCCCCAAATGCCTGCCTCACTCCCACCTCCAGAAGTGGGGAGACAGCAAGGGGCTCTGCCCTATCACCCTTCACACATCCACCAGGAAGGCACGGGAGATGAGAAGGCGAGTATTTACCGAACGATGACCAGGGGTCTGAAGTGCTGGCTGGGGCCGCTGGCCCGCCCCAGGGGTTTGTCTGGTTGGCTGAGGCTGACCGGCCCCAGGGCTCTGCTTTCTGGGCAGCAGGGCCTGAGCTGGGGAGGGCGTCCATTAAGTCCAACAGAGTGGTCTGCTGTGGGTGGGAGCCGTGCTTTGGAGACAAAGAGAAGGGGACAGATTTTACTTTGCTACAGTTACAGCAAATATTCCCATGTTAACCATAACTACTGTCTGTGCCTCTTAGGAAGAGAAGCCCCCTGGGAGGGGCCAAGAGGAAACTGAGCTGCCCATCCCGCCACCACCTCACAAAACCACTTCCCAGTGCAGCCCAGGCTCCACCCACACCACTTACTTGGTCCCCAATGCCCTGCCCGCTTGCAAAGGCCCTCAGGGCTTCCCAGAAGGACCCAGGCTTTGCCCAGGCCGCAGCCTCCCTGCAGGATGCAGCCCCCGCTGCCAGCCGTCCCCTGGGGCCCTCCCTCCTGGGGGCGGCCCCGCCCCCCAGCTGCTGCCAGGGACCCCGTGGCGCCGTAACATGGGAGATCAGTGGAACCGCTGGCCACGTCTTCTGACCAGACAATGGTCACCTTAGGCTCTGAGCAGGCGGCCTGGGCAGGGCAAGGCTGATGGTGGCAGTGAAGACGGGCACTTGCGAGGGCTTACCCCGTGCCAGGAATTTGCTCCAAAGCACTTGACGCTTGGCGTATGTCATGGTCGCCAGGACCACCCGGCTACTATCGTGCTCATTTACAGGGGAGGAAACTGAGGCCCTCCCTGGTTAACAGAGGCCCCTCGGCCATGCCCATCTCCTCTGGGGCCGGTCTCGGAAGAGCCTGGGGAGCGGCGGCTGGGGCGGGTGTGCTTTCTATCACGTCCTTGGCTCAATCCCGCTCAGCACGGGCCCGAGGAGGAGTGGTTGTTGAGCGGAGAGAAAACGGCTCTTGGTGAGAAGGCACGGTGCTCTGCGTGTGAGGTCTGGGACCCCCCGCCCAGATGACTACGGGAACGTCTCAAACATCTACCTTCCCCGTGGAGCGCTTACCTCTTTCTTTTTAGGAACTTTAACTGTGTCTCTTCGGCTTTCTTCTAGGGCCATCTGTAATCTGAGGTCGTCGCCTCGCCGGAGGCGCTCTTCCTGTTGAGGACAATGGAACCCGGAGCTGAGCGAGACTGTACTAACATCACGGCACAGAACACAGCGGTGCTGGCCGGGAACAGGACACCAAGCCACAGAGCACGTAATTTCAAAGGAAGGCTGGAACACGGCTTATAAGACACAGTTAGGCCTCTATCCCGAAGGTGCAGCCCTCAGGCTCCACCCCCGCCTACCTGTGCGGCTTCCCTGGCTTTGGGGTCCCACTGGGGAGACAGGGGTGCAGGCACAGCCAGCTGAGGGAAAGGGAACACTTTTTCTCAAAATGCAAATGGCCTTTTGATTGTAATTATGGAAGCAACACACCTCCATCTAAAACAGCTCAGGAAGGAATTAGAAAAGAGGATGGAAATCACTTCTCACGGCACGCCCCATAGCACCTTACAGAAAATGGCTCTGCGTTTACTTGTCTGACTTCAAACAGAAAGGAGTCATTATATAGTTGGGGCTAGAGCATCACGGGCGTTAGGGGCACCAGTCGCCCCGCCCCTGCACAAAAATCCACATATGAATCTGACTCCTCAAAAAGGTAACTACTCTACTCATACTCTCTCTCTTTCAAAATAAATAAACTTAGGGAAAAAAGCTTACTTACTAATAACCAACTGTTGACTGAAACATAGTCACTTAATGCATATTCTGTGTCTATATCATATGATGTGTTACTATAGTACAGCTAGAGAGATGAAAATGTTATTAAGAAAATAAGAAAGAGGCAGTATATTTACAGTATTTATTGAAAAGAATCCACACATAAGTGGACCTGCACAATCCAAACCTGTGTTGCTCAAAGGTCACCTGTATTTAATTTACATGCATTTTTTTATTTAAAAAAAGGTTTTAAAATGTTTATTGTATTTATTTATTTTTTAAACATTTATTTATTTTTGAGAGATGGAGAGAGACAGAGTGTGAGAGGGGGAGGGAGAGAGAGAGAGGGAGACACAGAATCTGAAACAGGCTCCAGGCTCTGAGCTAACTCTCAGCACAGAGCTTGACATGGGGCCCGAACCCAAGACTGTGAGATCATGACTCTGAGCCGAAATCGGATGCTTAACCGACTGAGCCACCCATGCACCCCTTTAATGTTTATTCTTGAAAGAGAGAGGGAGAGAGAATGCGAGAGGGAGGGACAGACAGAGAGGGGAGACACAAAATCTGAAGCAGGTTCCAGGCTCTGAGCTGTTAGCACAGAGCCCGACACAGGGTTCGAACTCATGAACCATGAGATCATGACCTGAGCCAAAGGCAGATGCTTAACCGACTGAGCCACCCAGTTGCCCCTAACTTATAAGTTACTTAAGGCAAAGTCACTGGGTTGTCCTAGCTTTCACATAATAATGAAATAAAAGTGAATTCATTATTTTCATCCATTAAAAATGTGATAAATCACAGAGATGAGTTATTAACTACAAGGGGCTCCAATGGTCCATCTGTCCCTGTATTCCTGCACCTTCTTCCCGGACTGTCAGTGACAGAGCCAGGCACCCACAGGGACAGATTTAATGGCTGTGTTTCTCCTGCTGTGAACAGAGGGACCGAGAAGAGCCGTCCACTAGTGCTGGGCTTGGGGTTTCCAGTTACAGCGACACAAGCCAGGCTGGGTCAGCACCGCTGCACTGCCGTTGTACCGTCACTAGTATCTGTCTCTATATGTCACTTCTGGGCGAGACGGAGCCTCACGCGACCTGACTCAGTCCACCCTCCCTAACCCAAGGTCACCAGGGGCAGCCCTGATCACTGGGACCCACGGGAAAGCAGCTTTGAGAGGTCATTTCCATCACGCCGTTCCCTCCTTCTCCGTGTTAAAGTAACGCATGATTACTAGAGGAAAAACAGGAACTGAAAAGAATTAAAACTACACACACTTCCGTCATCTAAACACAATAAGCACTCTATTACCTGCAGCTCTTCCTTCTTGCCTTTCCGGTGCTCAGATGCTCTTGATCCATCTCACCAAACCGCCCTCCCAAGGGGCTGAGCCCCACTGCGTGCCCACAGGCCTTTCCCTGAGGGGCTGTGGGCACCCAGAGGAGACCATGCCACTTGCTGTGTGTGCAGAAGTGTTTCTGGGGAGCACTTCTGTTCACTCCATCCCGTGGCAACAAAAGGCTTCCTACATGGAGCAGCACAGGCCCCCCTCCCTGATCAGGGGCCAGTGGGCGGCAAGAACAGGGTCGTGGCACCTGGAAGCCCCATCTCAGGAAACACACGGGAAGCGTGGAGGGCAGGGCCTGCTCCGCACCGCGCCCGGCCCCACCCCCACTGCGACAAGCCCCGCCCCGGCACCCACCTGCTCGGCTACCTCTCTGCTCATGGCAAGTGCCAGCTGCAGTTGCAGCTCCTCTTCTCCGCTCGTCTGGGGACGGGCCTGCTCCAGCTCGGAGGACACCCTCGGGGAGGTGGCTGCAGGGGAAAGGCAGAGTCACCACAGGCAAAGGGCAGGCTCCCGCTCAACAGTTACCGGGTCGAACCACACCCGGGCCCCACCTCACCCCCCAGGGTCGCGCTGTGCCCGACGACATGGGCGCCGCGCAGGAAAGGTTCATGACTACTGCAAGGATAAAATCTAGGCACATCAAGCACGGACTCTCGGTAACAGGAGCCACGTGGCCCCAGTGAAGGAAAGAGGCCTTCAGGTGCAAGCATGGTGGTCAGGCCTCTCCAGGACGCGAACCCCAGTGTTTGCTTCCAGACCTTCAAAGAGACAAACTAAGTTGTTTGTTTGTTTGTTTTGACAAGATCAAAAGTACTGTGTTTGCAAAGCTGGATCAAAGAAGGTCAAACAAGCACAGGGCTATCGGTGGACCAAGAACCGCACTTGAGATTCTGCACCATTAAAGACTCTCACTTCATATCTCATGGTGGTAAAGACCATGGGAAATGAAGGCCACATGTTTCTGGGGCAACCCCGAACATTCTTGTTTTCTAAGTAAAACGGTGTGCTGACTTGAGCAAGCCACATTTTTGCTGTCAGCAGTTAGCTAGTGTAAACACTTGAAAGAGGCTCCTGGAAGACAGCTCTTACTGAAGGGATGGGTGTGGACCCCTAGCGGATGCAACGGGCCTCCAGGAAAGGAGTGTAGCCCCATTCACACACTGAAACCAGGCTGGGCCTCGCCGCATGAGAACCACACGGCCATTGGGATGTTTTGTGCATCGGGGAGCATAGCGGTCTCCAGAGACAGGGCCTACAGCTTTGGGAGCATGCGCCTACCTCTGCCTCCGCCCCAGGAGAGGGTCCATGGCTTCTCTGAAAGCCTCAAAGTCGGGCCCCACTGCCTGAAAGGTCTGGAACCACACCCCATCCTCCCTCTGGACCTTCATGCGAGCCACGCCCTAAGCGCACCAGCAACTCCTTGGTTCTCACCTCGGCTCCCCTGCCCTGGTCCTCTGGGGCTGCCCTCCTCGCTGTGGAGGGGTCAGCAGCTCCCTCTCCCCCCCCCCCAATAGTAGTAGATTATGCCAGAAGGTACACTCCTTGAGGAGGGTCCAGGCCTGTCTTTCTCACCACTGCATTCATCCTCAAAGTTTGGCAGAGCAGCTGACAAACTCCCACTGGGTCGATGGATGTGTGGAACTATGCACATATGGGCGGACGGACAGACAGACAGATGGAGAATTCAATCTCACAGCCGATGGGTAGTTGTTGGAGAATGCTCTAATTGTGTGTCTGTTTTTCTTCTGTCTGTCATTATGTCCATTCCAGCAAACCCAGCCATCAGCGCTCACCCACCCGATGCTGCTTCTGCCTAAAACCCCAATCTAAACTCACTTCTTAGGATCTGCCTCTTTGGGAGGAAGTAAAAGGTCAGGAATGATTCCTGACAGATGAGGTTTCTAGCTGGCTCGGCTCTGGCCACCATGAATAAAACAGGGAAAGAGAGCCAGACACAGAGTCACGGAGGTTTTCACGGAAGAGCAAGGAAAGGCTGCCAGGGGGCAGCCCTGGGCGGAGGGTGGGGCAGTGCAATGGCAGGAGGCTGTAGAAGGCAAGGCTCTGTCACCCGATTACGTGCAGCAGTAAGAGTTCATTTGGCACAGTTCTGTGTTGTGAAGCAGTGTATCTGCTATGATTTACTCTCAACCGGAAGAAACCCCTTGCAAAAAAAAAAAAAAAAAGAAAGGAAAAAAAAAAAAGAAAAAAGCGCAGGTGGAATCCCAGCCTACTACATCACATTTACATTTTCCAAAGTATTTGCTTTAAAGACAAAGCTAGATGGTAATAAAATGGAGCGTCAAGTCCCTCTTGATAATTTGACTTACTAATAATACACCAAACAAAAGTACTTTTTTTGATGGTGATGCTTTGGTCCCCAAACCTCACCTATGCCAATAACAGTGCTCAGCTTGGGTGTCCTCCAGAAGCAAAGATGTCACCATCCAGACTGCTGGATACAAAGGAAGCCGCAGTTTTGGGGAGCGGCTCCAGAGGACCACTCAGCTGGGCGTGTGGCTCCCCAACCCTTCACCACTCAGCCTGCCCGTCCCCAGCCTCTTGCCGAGTAATCTCTGAAGCTTCTTCACAGAACTCTGTTTATAACAAACACAGCACACTCGACACCCTCCATTCACTACCCAATGGAAATAGGAAGGCAATAAAGCAGGCCTATATCCCGTTCCACACCCCAGAGAAGTGCTAAGTGCTCCGAAAAATGAGCCCCGTCCTGGCAGGGAACGAGCTACTTGGCCGCACCGCCACAGTGCTGCATTCAGCCCGGCCGGGGATGAACTAGATGGGGCCCTGGACGGAGACCTTCGAGAGAAGGAATGAGGCCTCGCTTGTCCTCCGAGCCTTTGCGCACATCTGCAAGGCCAGACTGGCTTCAAATGCAAATGTGCACGTGAATGTCTGCCGAAACTGACTGTTCGAATAACGCGCGGCCAGCACGCGCGGAAATAGCTCACCACATCAATGTGGAAGTTAAAGACAAAGGGTATTCCCCTAAACGTGTGGTTTTCGTGAACGGATGTACAGCTCTGGGTTCCGCAGATGGCAGAATTCACAGCCACCAGCCCCGAGGATCAGCTGAGCGGCACACAGTGGTGTCGCTGTGACCGAGGGTTCCAGCCAAGCCGCTCTTGCCTTCGTGACAGCGGCCCAGTCCCACAAAGGGCCTCTTGTACCGCACCCAGGACAGTGTACACAGATGCGCTTGTGAGACGGGCCTGCAAGGACCCTTCCCACCACCTGGGCCTGGCCTTGCCCACAGTCCCCAGGGACTTGAAAAAACAGGTGCTCGAGACCCCGCCACCATCCGGAGGGAAGAGCAGGAGTGGTTAGTGTAGGCTAATCACTGATGGGGCATCAGGGGCATCAGCCCTGTCTCCTGGATCCCACCCGGAAGAGCCCCAAGTCCTCGCTTGCTGCGACCAGGAATTATAAACGTAGCGTGGCCTCAGTTTTGTCCTTTCTGGCCTGTCATACTGGCTGAGAAGGCCAAGGGAAAAGGCCGAAGAGGAAGCCTACAAAAGCCAACTTTTCCTTCAAAATACAAGCCAAGAGGAAGACCCAGAAACACATCCCACTGCAGGCAGACTCGAGTCTCTGGCAGTCACTCCACCCCGTGGCTCCAGGGCACCAGGCCGGAGTGTGGGTGCCCACACCCTGGACTTCAGGAAGGATCTGGGTTCCCAAATGGGCTCCTGAAGCAAAGCCTAGAAGATTTTCTAACATGGAGGCTTCGGCTGACCAACCTCGGGCAATTTTGAAAGAAGAAATCGAAGAGGAAAACAGGAAATCACTTCTCAGGCCATGTCGCTATTTTCCTAGAAAGAACTTAAGCACACCTGCAATCACATTGATGAAAGGGAAGACACTGTGGGACACACCCTTACCAGCAGATGGCCCTGCGTGGTAACCAGCAAGTTTCTGGGAAAGCTCTCTGGTGCGCGAGCCTCACACAAGGTGAGGGTCTGGTCTCCATGTGTCTCCGCCTGATGCTGGGCACACAAGGCACATCTGACATGCCAGGAAGAATGGAATGTCACCAGGCTTCAGGGGCCCGAGAAGACCCCATCGGAGTCTAAGCACCTCCGCCACCATTTAGCTGACAGGGAAACCAAGGTTCAAATCCCGTCCCTGCCCCTAACTCGTGGTGAGACCATGTGCCAATGGCCTGACCTCCCTGGGCTCCTGTATCCACATCTGTGAAATGGAGACTAGCAGCGCTTGTGGGAAGGGGCAGGAGCACCCAGCACAGGGCTGGCTGTCCCCTGAGGAGCGCCCTGCCCCAGGCCACTGTTCCACAACCACCACACTACCTAGGGGCTGGACTGTGGCACTCCCATGTCCAACTCACACAGAAGCCGCAGGCGGGTACCCCATTGTACCCTGGTCCTTCCCAGGCCTCCATGAGAACGGGGCTGGGGCCACGGTTACTGAGCCCAGGGCCTGCTTCCACCCTCCAGTGCCCCGGGCCAGCTAAGTTCCTTCCTCATCACTGAAATGCAGTCAAGCTCTTACTGGATCTTTCTCAATGTGGTGACATCTTCCTGTGGCTCCCTGGGCCACTTCCTGAATCAGCAATGAAACTCTGGCCTCCCCCATGCAGCAGCCTGGCCTAAGCTGAGGCTTCTAAACCTGTTCCCCACGGAAGACCCCCAGGGCCTTCATCCTCTTCACAGGGAGGAGCAAGAAAGGTTGCTTTAGGTCAAATGAGATGAATTATAAAAAAATAAGTTCAGATTACCCCAGATAACAATAAGAGAGTAAAAATATAGATACATGGTTTGAAAAAAAAAAAAAAAAAAAAAAGGCGGGGTGGGGGGTGGTGCCTGGGTGGCTCAGCCAGGTAAAATCTGACTTCAGCTCAGGTCATGATCTCATGCATGGTTCATGGGTTCGAGCCCCTCGTTGGGCTCTGTGCTGACAGCTCAGAGCCTGAAGCCCTGCTTCACATTCTGTGTCTCCCTCTCTTTCTCTGCCCTCCCCCCTCAAAAGTAAATAAAACATTTAAAAAACTAAAAACATAAAGTACAAGATGAGAAGTGCAACAAGTATAACAATCAGGTCACTTTCAGGGTAAAACGGGGGGGGGGGCTGTGACTTCATGACCAAGGGACAAACCATAGCCCCCCCCCCCCCACGCTGTGGGCACCCTCTGCCTGTCACATGACATCACCCACCTCCCATGACAGTTCAGGCAAAATCTTGGCTTGGACTCCAATCTAGACTCGAAACTGATTCCCAGGTCACAGAAGGACAAGGCAAGGACTGAGCCAAACACCACGTGATGGGCAGAGGGACAGACCCAGATGAAGGAATGCTCTGTGGGACCACTGGCCCATCTCTCACTGTGTGAAGAGAACTCTGCTGCGTCAGATAGACCAAAGGGACAGGACAGTCAGATGCAACGTATGGTGCAGGGACGGCCTCAGCTTAGACAGACCAGCTGCGTGACACT